TCTCTCTCTCTCTCTCTCTCTCTCTCTCTCTCTCTCTCTCTCTCTCTCTCTCTCTCTCTCTCTCTCTTCTTCTTTCCTCTCTTCCTTCCCTCTGTTCCCCTCTCCCTCTCCCCCTCCCCTATCCCTCCACCTGTCTCCCTCTCTTTGTACAGAAATAATATCCACATTACTTAGGAGGCTTAAAACCTTCATTTTCAGTCCACATTTCTCTCCAGATTTTAACGTTTCCCTTTTTCTTCCAGACTAGTGAACGGCGCGCTGGAGGAGGAGCTTGAAAGACCATCCACGCCTTCTCGATGAAGACCCTGACGCCCGAGCAATGGGAGAAGCAGAACCAGTAGCTCGCCGTCGGGTTGCCAGGTCCGTCGGGGAGCAGAGTTCACGCCTCGGGGTGAGCGTCCGAGAGGAGGTGTGACGTCGCCCGCTCTGGTGGTCGAGTTTTTTGAAGTGTGTGTGAACTGTTCCTCAGAAACTGGAAAGGGAGAAGAAAAAGGCAACTCATTCCTTTTACTCTGTGAAATCGCTATTTCTCTGCTTGGTGATGTCGGGTGAGGACGCCTCGTGGTCGGGGGAGGTGAGGGTGAGCGCGCCGGGGAAGGTGATCCTCCACGGCGAGCACTCCGTGGTGTATGGCAAGCGCGCCGTCGCACTCGGCCTCGACCTGCGCACTCACCTCACGGTCTCCGCCGCCGCCGACTCGGTGTCCCTCTGCCTCCCCGACGTCGACATCAGCAAGACGTGGTCGCTGGAGGAGCTGCGGGCCCTGTGGAAGCAGATGGGCGGCGCGCAGGCTCCGGACGCCGCGCCGCTGGCTGACGCCCAGGCCGCTCTCCTGCGCAGGTTCCTGGGGCATCGAGGGCGGAGAGGCCGGCAGCCCGACTCGCAAGCTGGCCCTGCTGTCGTTCTCCACCTTACCTGGCCATTCCTGCCGCGGCCTCTTGCCCATTGCGCATCTCGGTCAACAGTCAGCTCCCGACCGGCGCCGGCCTCGGCAGCTCTGCGGCCTATGCGGTGTGCTTGTCGGGGGCGCTGCTCACATCGCAGGGACGCCTCGACCCGGGCGAAGGCAGGGCCAACCTGGAGAAGGTGTGCCGGTGGGCCTTCAGGAGCGAGCAGATCATCCACGGAACACCCTCGGGCATCGACAATTCCATCTGCACGTACGGCGGCGCAGTCAACTTCAAGGGCGGCGCCAGCACGCCCGTTGAAGTGCCGCCCCTGCAAGTGCTGCTAGTGAACACGAAGGTGCCAAGGAGCACCAAGGCACTTATCTCGGGGGTCCGCGAGCGTCGTGAGCGGCACCCGAGTGCCATCGACCCGATCCTGGACTCGCTGGACGCCCTGGCCGAGCGAGGAATCCAGGCGCTGCACGACCTGGCCTCGGCGACCAGGGACCAGGACCGCGCCGCCGCCCACGAGACGATCGCGGAATTGATCGAGATCAACCAGGGTTTGCTGTGCGCCCTGGGCGTGTCGCACCCGAGCCTGGACCGCCTGGTGGCCCTGGCCCAGGCGAACGGCCTCCGGGCCAAGCTGACGGGCGCGGGGGGCGGGGGGTTCGGAATCGTGGTGGAGGGCCTCGCCGGCAAGGAGGACGTGGCCAAGTGCTGCCTGGACCTCGAGACCCACGGCTACCAGGTGTGGCGCACTCGCCTCGGGGCGCCGGGGTTCACCATCCACCACGCGCAGTGACTGCATTTGCTTGTAGAAGATTTTTCTGTTAGGACTTTTGACATTATTACCAAGCACTGAGTAGACCTGGATGTAATCCTGTTGTTGGTTTCCAAGTGAAAGGTTGAACATGTCTGTGATTAGTAAATGACAATATTTCTTGATTTGATACATGATAAAGGCTAAGATATAGATTTTAGGCCAGTGCTTGGCTCTCGTTCGTTTCCAGCGACACAAAATACTCCTGTTACAGCATTTAAATCATTTGTTACTGTAATGTCATTTATTTTAGTAAATGATTCGGGCATGGCAGAAGTCTTTCTCTCACACAACCACATCCTGAACTCACACACTTGATACACGAGGCATGTTAATGTGATATTGTGTATGTATACATTCGCTTGACATAATGTGTATATTTGTATGCGTAGTTAGATGAAACACCTAATCATGAGGCGCCTCTCAACAGAAATCTTTCCCTGTCCAAAAGGTAGCCATGGGTTTATCTTAGATGAAAGTTGATTTGAGAACTATCCTCCATCATCGGTGTCGACAGTGTAGGTCAAAGGATTATTTTCTAACCCAGCGAGGGAGTGCTAAAGAAAACCACAAAAGATATTCTGTGTTATCTAAAAAAAAAAGGGGATTGGGACCTCCTAAAGTTCTATATGTATCCCCTTATCCCACTGAATATACTAAATGTTTTATGTTTTGGGTTAACAGTGTTAGCCACATTGCAACACATGGCTTCTGTCACACTTTAAAGGTTTCAGTCAGCTGTAAATATATCAGGCTCGGAGTTGATAAAGTGTTCACAGTTATACTTTGGCCATCAGTTTAATTATTATTATTATTATGTTATTTAATTATTATTATTATTATTTAATTATTATTATTATATTATTATAGCACATTATGTCGGCCAATACATTTATAAACACTACACACGTGCGCGCCCCCATATATAGGCCACATCTTCAATTGCAGTTTGCAAATTGTCAAGGATTTGAAGGTTCAATGTACGCACATACAAGTGTACAATTATGGAAGAAATATTTGACTAATTTCAGAAAACCTTTCCTACATCTTATATCACACTCCTTCACCTCTACCCAACTATGTTAATCCTATTAAATACCATCCTACTACTCCATAACCAATAACGGATAACACCTAACTAACAACCCATCCCTATCCCTACCCTATCCAGTTAATTATATCTCCTATAGTGCTATATGAACTCCGATGTCTAGCACATTAATTTTCCCTCAAACCATTAACTAACTTACATCTGATATACATATAAGACATTCTAATCCTTTGCTTTGCATGTAACTGTCCATTTCAACAGTTTTTGATTGTGTACTAAAACTACCCTAATGTAATTAGTAAATTCATTATATTCTTTAATATTTGTTTTATCAATAGCCACTTATTGATAGTCTCTTGCGAGTCTACACTCAAATACTAGTCATGTAAAGGAATTTAAGTGACTCATTCATTCATCCATAGACGATACCAATGATTCCTGCGTTGTTTGTGTTACAGTTTTACGAACACTTATGAGCTTAGAAATGTCTAATTTGCCCTTTTTCATTCTCTCTGCATTTAGCCAAGCTGATCCACAGAAATTCAATGAGTAGTTTGTACCTATTTGACCTTCCCATAAAAGAGGTCGCCATTGCATTTCCAATTAAGAAGAATTGTCCCTGTCTACAAGTGAATAAACTCATGGTCACCCTCGACGATCGGTCAAGTTGACATTGTGTCTGAAACTAAGTTATTATCTATTATTAAGCTTCTTGTATGAGTCTGTCAAGTCGTTTTGTGTGGATTTAACTTGTTCTTTAGTTCTCTGGTTATTTCTGCTTGCCTGTTTCTTCATTTATTTCCTCTTACATTTTTGAGCAGCTACATGACAGGTCATCAGTTCCATATCTTTTTGCACCTGAAAGTTGACCATTCAAGTGTTCTTTGATTTAATTAAGATTATTCACACTCACAAAATCGATAACATACATACATACGTGCCATCTGTCCTACATACACCCACCTTTGCTGTGTTTAGAGTACACCAGTTTTTTTTTCTATTAAGCCATGCACCATCTGACAGTGTTTCTTTAGGATCTTGCACATCATTGTTAGGTGCTAGTCGGGCTCCATCATTTAGAAGACTAGGAATTCTTGTATGATGATGCAGTAGGTGTCGTGAATTGATTTTGTTTTGATGTCTTAGGTTTGGGATTGACTACGGATCTCATGGGGAGAGACAGCAGCTAACTAAACTTGGTATGCATTATCAAACACGAACAAGTTGGTTTTCGAAGACCACGTATCCATGACACTTACCTCTCATGTCCAAGTCGAGGTCGAATGAGAATAACCTTAACAACACACTCCGGATTACGGACATAAAAAACACTGTGCGTGTTTTTAATTCCCTTATTGGTGCAGGAATACGAACAAAAGTAAATTGATAAGTACCCCTTCATTACTGGTTTTCTTCCGGTGTCAGTTATTGATGTATCCAAAGTCCTTGTAAAAAAAAAAGTAATTAAAAACCGTGACATTTACTCTAAAAATTCATGATGATGAAAGTTCATAGTTCTCTACCTTTCTGCCAAGTTGTTTTTGAACTTTGCTGGAGTGACCGCAAAATGGAATATATTTTGACCAAGGAAGCGACCCGCTCAGGTTATTTTTTTTATTTTTTTTTTTTTTCTTTCTTTCTTTCTTTTCCTTTTTCTCAGTAGAGTAAAATCTCATGAAACAAAGAAGAGCAATAATAAAGGAAAATCTGAAAATGAAAGAACACAAGGTTGGAAAAAAATCAATAATAAGCACACAATAGTGA